GAGTTGATTGATGGCGTTCCTGGGGATAAGTCCACAAGCTTGGAGATTCCGCTGAAGGTCGACTTGTCTACTTTCGTGGAGCTAGCCAGGAAGGCGTTTAGCTTACGAGTGAGATACCACTCACTACCACGTTAATTGGAGCCCCCCTCGGCCTTTAACTCAGGTTGAGGATATAGCCGTGTCGGGATGAGTGTTGCTGTTCATTCATGCTGCGCGCCGAGTATACATGATCACGATGATGTCATGAATATGATACTCTGCCGTATGTTGGTCTGTGTTATAGCTATAGGACCTGTAGAGCAGGGACTGCTTTACATGGCTTCTCGAATAACATCAGATGAAAGGTGGCCCAAACCGAGAACGACTGGCCTCAACATATCCAGCAACCTCAGTGTTGCTTGTTCTCGCTGTTCATGTTCGTCACAGTTCTCTGGTGGACCAATGGTTCCAATGGATCCGTCCTAATTGCCTCCCGAGCCATCACAACTAGACGATGTATTGAATCCATCGGCCAATAAGTTGTCGTGTTGCATAGATATACATGTGACTTGAGACGGCCTAGGTCCGTGCATCCCCATGGCGAGGGAGAATGCAACGCCAATTACACTGAGGCCGATGAAGTCAGTCGGTATATCCTCAGGGTGAACGTATACAGGAGTACGTAACGTGCTATACGTTATGCAAGTTATCAGCATAAACTCGTCTTGCGCAACTTTCTTCAACCGATGAGCGCCGTTGAACTTGGACGTAGTCGGTTTTCTAAACTTTAGAATCTAAAGTACCAGCTCCCTATCGGTGCTCCATTTTTCAACTCGGTGTAACCATCGACTCCTTTCTAGCTGCTAAATTCTAGAGAAGCTCATTCGTCTATGATATGAATTTCAAACCATCGATAAATGGGCGAATTTAGCAGCTCGTCATACTATGATGATGAAAAGAAAGCAGTGGAAATGGCCGCGGCCATCGGTTAACAAGAATAGGACAGTTTGTGACAATCTCAAGGTCGTACGTATCATACGTAAGACCTTGATACGGTATCACGGGAACAAGATCAAATGGAGCTATCAAATTCTTTCTTGAGGGTCACCCGAGCGCGGGTGGGGAGGAGCGCCCCCTGAAGCAGTACACATTCGCAAGAACTTATCCTGTGTATCCCTGGACTCTAGGCCTGGAGCGAAATTCGAGAGTAGGCACAACTTCCCAATACGTTCCTACCGTAGGAACGTATTGGAATCCGTAGAAATTCCTATAGACCAGGGCACCATTGTTACGGGGCAACTCTCGCGGTGGTGGTTGAACTCGTCTGCTAATGCTTAATTGTGATGAGGCTTACTTGAGCAGGCTTGTGGAACTTGAAGTGTTAGCTGCTATGCCCATTGAGGATGAGCGTTTCAATGACTAACGTCTCAGCTGGACGGGTTAATGGGTGCACACTCCAATCAGGCGTACTATTTGCCAGCACTTTAAGTACTGCTATTGCATCCTTTGCAAGAGTAAAGTAATCTTTCACACTAATAACTTTCCAATAATATACTGAATAATTTTTCCAACAAAAAATTAACCTATATCCTGCAGCTCCTAAATTCAAACGTGCTCACTTTCTAACTTACCCACACGGATATCCACATCTTGTTCAAACCTTCGGTAATTTTGTGCGTAGTGTGGGTCTGCGTCGCGATTGGGAGTAGGAATCAACTCAGTGGCCATTGGCCACTGGCCAACACTTGTCCAAAGTCGATCACATCGATTTTTCCTCTCAGTACTGAACGGTTCAGTCCGAACCTCCGGCTTTACCAATGGCCGGTTCAACACCATTGTTGGTGGAAGGGTATCTCACAGAGACGCCCTGGCAGAATGAACCTGCCATCAACTAAAATTATCACCCGTGAACCAGTGGTTCTATAGGTATGTAACGGCGTCAGGATTGTGATGGGTGTATTTCTCTTGGTACAGCAGACCACCGAGCTGGGACATGGCTGAGGTGAAGCAGATTTGGAGTTTGTAGGTGTCCGTGAGTATAGGCTATACTGTATAGCATGGAGAAGCTCAAGTGTTGTCTTCAGATCCTCCAGCATGGACTATATCCGCTGCTTGGCGTGGAACCAGCATGTTGCTCGTAGTACTCCCGGGAATACTTCTTTCATGGCGGCAATGATAGATGGTGCACCGTCGCCTAGAACAACGTGACACGTTGAACGTGTAGTGTTCTTTGATCGAGTCCCAGTACTGGAGCAATCTGTGGCAGAATGCTCAATCGGCTCACCCGATTGGGTGACTGTCGACCCTGTAAAAGTCCCTGTAAGACTGGAAATTCAGTTAAAGCGGAGATTAAATATTAATCCTCAGCATACTTAGCGAGCGCTTAGCGGTCGACATAGTGCCACGAACCGCGCCGGAGACGTCGGTAGTCAGGACGCTGTATCGGCCGGAGATGGTGCTTGCATGGCGGCGCATTACTAGTTGCCTTAGAAGCTCCAGCCCTGCTTGGGGTGCTCATCAGAACGGGAGGGCTCCAAGCCCTGGGGCCCAGGGCCTGGGCTTGTCAGGAGTGATACTTTTGACAAGCCATAGGCTTGTCCATTCCCGTCATCATCACATACTATGTGACGTGAATGGACCCAAATGCGAGCAGGCAACGGTACTCGCATTCGGCGGAGGTATCTTCTGAGGGCGTCATTGGTGATGGTGGTGGATATTATCCACTGGATAACGCGGTCTCAGCGGGATGGAGAAGGGCCCTTTCAAATTGGAAGAGTTCTCTCTTTTTCAAAAAGAATTCATTTATTTCTATTTCATTATCTCTTTCAAAAATTTTCAGAAAGAAACGAGAAAGAAATGAAAATAGTTGAATTATATGCTACAATTTCTAGTCTGAAAATTTAAGGAAGATGATTTAAAGGTATGAGTATGAAAATACAAGGCACCGCCTATCGGTGATGATTGATAGTCGAGATATTACGAGAAAATGCGACTTACATAGACGTTATTGTTGAGTCCCCGCGGTAAAGGTAACGGTCCGTTACTAACGGAGGAGGTGATACTAGAGGGTCATGAACAACTAGGCCTCAACAGAGAACAACCGGGCATCATTTCATGAGAACTGGGCGATTCTGATACAATACAAGTATACACCTAGACCCTGTGAGCTATAGAGCAGTGAAGCGTGGGATGAATTTAGAGTCAATGTCAATAGCTGCTGAACTTCGGTGTCTCGAATATCTAGTCCATGGCGATTCTGATACAATACAAGTATACAGCCAGGTTCTATGAGCAATAGAGCATTGGAGTGTGGAAGGACCTTCAGACTGAAGGCTTCAGTAGCAGGCTCAAGTAGGTTAAGTCAACTTACCTACCGGCAGCATTGTTGGGCTA